CCCCGTATCTCTGTTGACGATGTACTCCCCGTCTTTGATAACCTGATGAAGCAGAAGTTGGTGGAGAAGAACATCTTCTCCTTCTACCTGAACAGGTGGGGTGGGAGGGCCGGCCCCCTCTCTGCCCCAGTCCTCACCCCGCTTCCCAGCTCAGCGTGGCTGAGTGCAGGGGGCTCGGGCCACCACCTCCCTGGCCACCCTCCAGGCGCCGGGCTGCAGCTTCTGACCTCTGACCGGAGGCGGGACTGGCCCCCCTCTTGCAGACCCACGGGCAGCCGCACAGCCCGGGCTTCCCACCGGGAGCGGCTCGGGCTATGGGTCCAGCATCTTGCTCAGCGGGCCGCCTGGGGAGAACCGGACCCCGGTCGGGAGTCACCACAACTCCTCCTGGGTCCGTCAGCCCGGCTTTCCCTGGGCCTGATGAGAGGAAGACGTGGCCCCTGGGTCACCGATGGCCTAGAGGGGACAAAGCCGTGGGCCCCAACCTGAAGCAGGGCCTCTGGAGACGAGGATTCTGGGGGCTTTCCACGGAAGGTGACCCCAGTTGGGCCTTGAGTGCCAGATGCTGCTAGAGGCGGCCGTGGGCCAAGATTGGTGTGGAGTGCAGCCTCCGTCACGCCATCTGGAAGCAGCCCCCAGTGTGTCCGTGCCTGCCGCAGAGAAGGCCCCCACCCCGGTGGCCCTTGCCCCACACGGAGGGTGGGGTCACCTACGTGCAGGGGCCTCGTCTCTCCCCTCAGGGCGGTGCCAGAGGCCCTGATGGGGGTGTGCCAGGCCTGGACGTGTGGGCAGCGTGTGAGCGGGCAAGCCTGCCGACCACCGGTGGTCACCGCGCCACCTCCCCCCCCCCCAAAGCCCTCACCCTCCAGAGCCTGCCCACTTGCTCTTCTGGCTGAATGCCAGCTCGAACCCTGCCCTCAGCCTGGCCCCTGCCTGGGTGCTGCGCTCTGTCCCTTGATCAGAGCTTGGTCGGTGTAAATACCCAGCGGCCGGGCCGGGCAGAGCCACCCCTGGAGGCTGGTCTTTTCCTGTGAAGCCTCGGGCCCAGGGTGGGTGGACAGGGGGAGGGGACCCAGGAGGTTGGCCAGGCCCAGGCCCAGGCCCAGGGACGGACAGTGCGGTCAGTGCTGTCAGTGCTGGGTGGGGGCCGACGGACAAGGGCAGGGAGGTGGGGCAGGGCTGCGGGTGGGGAGCGGACAGTAGGCCGTGGTCTGGGATTTCGGAGGTGATGGGAGGTGAAGGCCAGGGGGGAGGGCTGGAGGCCACAGGTAGTAGAGGGAGGGCCACGTTTGGCCTGGTGCTTTCTGGGTGTGGGGACAGCCCAGGAAGAAGACCGCGAGCTCAAACACTAAGTCTGGAGAAGGGTCTGGAGGTGGGAGGGTGCTCAGCGCAGGCTGAGCGGAGATGTGGGGGTGGGGGCAGTTGGGTGAGGATGTGGATGGAGAGCGTCCCTGGAACAGCAGGTGCACGGGCCCCAGGGCAGGAGTGAGCTGACTTCGGTGCCGCCTCCTGCAAGCCCTCCCTGGTTTGTGTTGTTTTCACGCAGAGGAGGGTCCCCTCCTTGGGCTCCTAGCTTTCACTTCCCTGTCTGCCCGCTGTCTTGACCCTGGCGCATTTCCGCTGGCAGACCAGGAGCGCCTGAGGTCTGGGCGGTATCTCGTGCCTGCAGGCCACACGGGGTGTGGGATTGGAGCCCCTCCCCTTGGGGAGAAGGAAGTCCCCTCCCTTCCGGAACCTTCCATCCTTGTGGGTCTTTGGAGAGCACCCCCCCCCCCATCCTCCACCCTTCACCCTTTGCTTCTGACTTGGCTCCAGCTGGTGCCGGTGGCACCCGACGCTCAGGCCGGAGGCTTGGTGTGGGGGCGGGCAGGGGTCCCCTGTGCTCGAGGGGCAAGGGCGGCCGACTTCCTCTTTTCTCTCTTCCCAGGGACCCTAACGCGCAGCCCGGGGGTGAGCTGATGCTGGGTGGCACGGACTCCAAGTACTACAAGGGCTCCCTGTTCTACCTGAACGTCACCCGCAAGGCGTACTGGCAGGTCCACATGGACCAGTGAGTGTGGGGCCCCTCCCAGCCCCCCCGCAGCCTCTGGGCAGCTCCAGCTCTCGGGGCTGGGAGGCTGAAGTGGGCGTGCTGGGCCCTGGACCCCCCTGGCCCTGGGTGCCTGTCCCACCTCCTGGCACCCAGCTGAGCCCCTGGCCCCTGGGCTCGGGCCCTGCCCCGCTCGTGATGTCAAAGGCGGCTGTTGACCTGCTCTTGGCCTCTTGGGCCCCAGCCGGCCTCCACCCCCAGCCAAAGAGAGGAAGAGAGGGTCCTGAAGAGGCGGGGGTCCCAGGCGGCCCTGGCGGTAGGACTGACCCCCCCCCCCCCGCCAACCCCCCGAGCCCAGCCAGGGGCCTCATACCTCCTCCCCCTCAGGGTGGACGTGGGCACCAGCCTGACTCTGTGCAAGGGGGGCTGTGAGGCCATCCTGGACACGGGCACCTCCCTCATGGTGGGCCCCGTGGACGAGGTGCGCGAGCTGCAGAAGGCCATTGGGGCTGTGCCGCTGATCCAGGGCGAGGTGAGTGGGCCCAGCAGTGTGGGCAGGATGCCGCCCTCCACCGCCCCACCACCGGCCACACCTAAACTCTCTTCCCTCCCTCAGTACATGATCCCCTGCGAGAAGGTGTCCACCCTGCCCGAGGTCACTGTGAAGCTGGGGGGCAAAGGGTACAAGCTGTCCTCGAAGGACTACACGCTCAAGGTCAGTGGGGGCAGGGGCAGGTGGGCGGGGCGCTGACCACCAGGGCACAGGGCACAAGCTGTCTTCGCAGGCCTACACGCTCGAGGTCAGCGGGGGCTGGGGGGGGCAGGGCAGGGGCAGGTGGGCGGGGCGCTGACCACCAGGGCCGTCCCAGGTGTCACAGGGCGGGAGGACCATATGCCTGAGCGGCTTCATGGGTATGGACATCCCCCCGCCCGGTGGGCCGCTCTGGATCCTGGGTGACGTCTTCATCGGCCGCTACTACACCGTGTTCGACCGGGACGAGAACCGGGTGGGCCTGGCCGAGGCCACCAGGCTGTAGCCGCCACGCCCGCCGCGGAGGAGGGAGTCCAGGAGGAGGAGGCCGGCCGCCCCCGCCCTCCTGGCCGCCCCACCACACACTTTCACACTCACACCCCCGCTCTGCGGGCGCCTCCGGCCCGCCGATTTCTTCTGAGGTTTTCCCCAGCCCTGGTTGTGGAAGTCCCGCCCACACGCCCGTCTGTCCATCTGTCTGTCTGTCTGTCTGATGGAGGGCCGGGTGCGGGCAGCAGCTGTGGGCTGATCGGCGCGGAGCCGCTGCACTAACTCGGACGACCGGGCCCCGCTTTGCAGCCGGCCCCTTTGTATCCCAGGACCCGTCCCCCGGGTCGTCCCCCGGGTCGTCCCCCGCCTCCCCAGCCCCGGGGGCCTGCCTGCCCGGGCAGGGCCTCTGGACTGAGCCCACACCCTGTGCCAGGCTGTTCTCTGGGTTCCTCTTCTGCCTGGCCTGGGGTCCCGGCCCCACCCGTGCTTCTGCGTGGGCCCGTCGAGGAAGGGCCAGCCGAGGCCCGAGGACAAGCAGGAAGGGGTTGGAAGGGTAGGGGCTCAGAGACCAAAGCCATCCTTGTGACACGTGTGGGGTCATCCTGGGGCTTGACCTCGTCCAGGAGGGCACTCGTGGGTCCAGGGCTGGGGAAAAAGGGGAAGGGGGCTGGTGCCACCGTCTCTGGTGGCTGGGAGCCAATGTTGATGTGAAAATACAGTTGTTTGGGCCTCTTTTTTCTGTGTTGGCATGTGTCGTGTTTGGTGGGAGGGAGGTTCTGAATGCGGACGTGGGAAGGAGCTGGTGTGGCCGGTGTGAGGCTGTTTCAGAGGGCTGACTCACAGCCAGGCTGGGGTGGGGGCGGGGAGGGGCCTTTGGGGGTGCCCTGGCTCCCAGCCCCCAGCCCCCCTGCCCTGCACAAGGGACCCTGGAGGCTTTGGTTTGCCGCCCAGCCTCGAGGCTGAGAGGCCACTGGCCGGGAGCGGGCTGGTAGTGAGGCCCGGGGCTGCGACCAGCCGGATGTGGCCTTGGCGGGAGGCCGCAGGACGGGGCTTTCAGAGTGGTCCAGGTGAGTACCTGCCACGCTTTCCGCCAGCGGCGGGGCCCTGGACTTCCCTGGTCCCCCTGCACACCCGTTAGAGTCTAGGACAGGCGCCTGAGTGGGGCTGATGGCAAGGGCACCCCGCCTCCCCCTGGGGCTCCCAGCCAGCACCTGAACGCAGCCTCTGTGCGAAGCCGGCACCAGAGCAGGCCAGCCTGGGGTCCTGAGACCTCGGCTTGGGGGTCCCAGTTAGGAAGCCCTCAGGTGGCGTGACCTTCCTGGTGGTCCAGCCTGTTGGGAGTTCCCTGAGGGGCCTTCAGGAGTATCTACCCAGATGCAGCTGCACGGCCAGGAGGTTTTAAGGGATGAATAGGAGTTTGTGAGCAGCTGGGATCGGTGGCTCCGGACCCTTGCCGGGCGCCCACCCCCTGCAGGTGTGAAGAAACGGCAAACGTTTCACGCGGCACCGTGCCGGTACCCCCTCAGCCTTCAGGGGCGTGGCTGTCGAGGGGGTCAGGGGGCCGCACCCCAGAACCGAGCCCTCACTGGCACCTTTAACAGACATTCGGCTAGAATCGCAGGGAGGCTGGTAACATGCGCCTGAAACATGAGTGGGGAGCCTGGAGTCGCAGAGCTGCAGGGCCTGGCAAGGCTGCCGGGGGGGGGGGCCGCCTCATCCGAGCCCTTGTGCGCCGAGAGGCCTGGCATCAGGGCGGGCCGGGAGGGAGGCCGCACTCTGCACCACTGCCCGGCTCCTGCCGGCTGCCCTGGGCTCTGTCTCCCACCACCCGCCGTGCCGCTTGCCACACAGCTCTGGCCCTCGGCCAGGACGCCCCCCCCCCATCCCCTCTCTGGGACTTGGGGACCAGCACCGCTGGATGCCCCCGGCCCTTCCCCCGACGCTACGACGATGGAGCGCAGGCTGGGCCTCCAGCCCCTACCGGCCACTGGGGTGCTGACGCCCCTGCCCAGAGCCAGGACCTTACGGCTGGCTGGCCTGGGCTGCTGGTCGGCGTCCTCCGGACTCCGGAGTCTGACTCCGGGCTCAGGTCCAGCCTCTACGGTCCAACCAACCTTAAGCCTCTGGTCTGTCTTTAGAAGATGGGTGATAACAGGGCACTCCTCGCCAGGGGCCTGGCAGAGACCCACGGGGTGCCCAGCTCAGCGCCTGGCACTCTTCCTGGCGGGCTTGCTGGGCTCTGCATCAGCACCGCAGGCTCCAGTGGGCATTTCCTGCCTCTTGCCCTTGCCTGGAGGACACCCCCCCCAAATCGAGCCCCTTCCTTCACCTACTGGGTGGAGGCCCGTGGGGGCTGGAGCCCCCTTCCCCCAACCGCCCTGGGTTCTGGGGTCCTCAGAAGGAGGCAGCCTCAAGGCAGTCTGGAGCAGGCCCCCGGGGGCCAGGAGGACTCCTGTGCAGACCAGCTCTGTTGGCCGCTGCCTGCAGCCTGCCTGCCTAGAGCAGCGTGGGGCGGGGCCTGGGGCAGGTGAGGCAGTGCTGGGCCCCGGGGGACCCGGCGGTGTGGCTGCAGACCGCAGGCGGGCCACACCTTAGGTCAGGCGCCTCCTGAGGCCTGGGGGTCCAGGTGCCCCCAAGCGAGGGCCCTTGGCAAGGGGGCAGTGGGTGTCGCGTGAAGGAGAACTGAATCCTGGTCCCCCCACAGTCCCCATCACCTTCATGCCCGGGGGCTCTTGGTCTGGGTCCAGCTGTGCCCAGGGCGTGGGCCAGGATGGAGGGTGGCCCTGGTGCTTGGGACCTCTCCCACTCACAGAGGGTTTTGTCAGCCTCCTGGAGGTTCTGGGGGTTCCTGAGGCCATGGATGAGGCTGGGCCTGGGAGGCCAGGGGGCGGGGCTGGAAAAGGGAGGGCTGCAGAGGGGGTGGGGCCTGTCCAGGGTTCAGAGAGGGCCTAGGGCTCATAGCACACAGAGGTTCGGGGAGAGCAGGGGGTTGGCAGAGGACTGGGGCAGAGGCGGGCAAGGATTCCCGGAGAGAAGGGGCCCCTGGGAAGGCCCAGGCTCAGAGGAGAGAGGGTCGTGGAGACGGCGGATTGACCAGATTGAGCTGGTCAGAGGAAAAGGGGGCTTTAGGAGAGGAGAGGCTCTGGGTGCAGTCGGGGCCTCAGAGGAGGACAGGGACCTGGAGGGAGCTGGGGAAGGAAACCTGGGGCCCCGGTGCATAGACACAACTTCTGGGGGGCTTTGGATTCTGTGGAGGCTGCTGGGTTGGTAAAGAGAACCCAGCTCGGAGGCCACCTGCATGGTGAGGTGAGGGGCTCCGGGAGAGGCAAAGAGGGCCGGGGCTTCTCCCTTGCAGACGGACCCGCTGGGACTTCTGCAGGAAGGGGAGGTCAGCTGGGGACAAGTGTGAGAGGGAATGAGAGGGTGTGGCATGAATGGAGGCTCCCAGAAGGGGCTGGGCCGGGTGGGCCGGTGTTGATTAGGGGAAGGGGCATCTGCAGGGGACCAGGCCCAGGTGGGCCAGGCAGGGCTGGCAGAGAGGCATGGGCAGCTGAGTGGACTTGTCTCCAAGCAGATAAGTGTCATTAGGGGCTTGGACAAGGACATCTGGCCCCACGGGCAGAGGGGACGAACGGGTGAGAGGTCACGGCCTTGGAGACTGGACTGTATGAGGAGGCGGGGCTCGGGGCTCGGGGCTGGGCTGTGTGGGGTCAGACCTGGGGAAAGGGGGTCTGGAGCTTCCACGAGGGTGGGCCCAGAAAGGACAGGGCCACATGGGGGCCAGCCAGCACGGCTCAGGGAAGGCCTGGACTTGGTGGCCTCTGGGGCTGGGGACCCGGTCCGTGGCAGCATTGTGCAGAGGTGGGTAACGGGATGGGGGCTCAGTGAGGTGCACCCTGCTCCGGCAGGCGCTACAGCCGGGGACCTGGGGCCTTCGAGGGGCTTGGTTTTGGCGAGGGATGCACGAGAACAGGAGAGCAGATGGGGGCTGGGCTGGGTGAGGGGCACGGGCCAGAGTACCGGGGGGGCTCTGCGTGGGCTGGGTGCTTGGTGAGGCCAGGACTCCAGGAGGGGCAAGGATGGACATGTGGGGAGGGGAGGGACACAGCAGTCAGAGAGGGGCAGCGGAGGGGAAGGGCTCAGACAGCCTTGCCGGCGGCCACGGTGGGGCAGAGGGGGACAGCAGGAGGATGAAGGGGCTCCCTCCTGGAGAGACAGACAGGGGTGGGCCTGGGGGCTCAGCAAGAGGGAGGGACAGGGAGGGAGGCGAGGGAGACACAGCAGGAGAGGACACCGGGTGGCCCTGTGGGAGGACCCGTCCCGGAGCCCCCCACAGCCCTCACCCCTGGCTCTGCGCCCCCTCCCCAGGGTCCGGCTGCCGGCCGGTGCCTGAGGCCCCCACCCTGCGGGTGGGAGGAGGCGGGGAGGTGGCTGCGGCCGCCGGCGCCGTG